GTAGTATTTGTCCTATTGAACGTGTAGTTGAACAGGAACTGCAGAGATAGCAATAACTGACTATGCTAACTCCTGCAGCTAGGTTTTGCCGACGCAGTATTTGATCCTCTAATAAATGATAAGCTGCATTATCGTGGTACTCCTAGTTCCTAAATCTGTGCTCCCGATGCATATGCTCATGTATATATCGCCAGTACTAGTGCGAGTTTTACATTTTTTAATATACGTATAATAGAGAGAGAATACTGTGCCTTTTCTTTTCTTTTGAGAATCGTGTTGAGTTTTACTTGGGAAATACAGTACTTAACGAAAGAGGGAAAAAAGAAGAGAAAAGTATACTTTTCGTCCCTCAACTCTTGGTGAAGTCTAGATTTGGTCCCTCAACTCTGAAACCGGACAACTTGCACCCCCAACTAACGAAACCGGACAAGGTTTGTCCCTGGTCTCGATTTTGACCGGTTTTGGTGCTGACTGACCCCGGTTTTGACCGGTTCCGACTAAAATTCGCGTAATTTTTTCATATCCGTGAACTTTTTAAAATTCACATACTCTTTTCAAATCCACATAGTTTTTCAAGGTCGTGCAATTTTTTCAAAAATAAACATACCTTTTTCAAATCTGTGAACTATTTTGAAATTTGTGTACTTTTTCAAATCCATGATTTTTTTAATTTGCGTAATTTTCTCAAATCAGTGTATTTTTTCAACTTCGTGTAATTTTATCGAATCCAAGTATTTTTTTTCAAATCCATCTGTTTTTTAAATTCGCGTACTTGTTTCAAATCCGCATACTTTTTAAAGTTCGTGTATTTTTTTCAAATCCGTGTTCCTTTCCAATCCATGAACTTTGTTTGAAATTCACATACTTGTTTCAAGTTGACATAAATTTTCAAATCCACACATTTTTTTTCTAATTCGCGTAAAAGATATTCAAATCCGCATATGTTTTCAATTTCACATAAAATTTTCAAACCCAAAATAATATACGTGAATAGGAATAAGTATGTCAATTTTTAAAAATTACATGAATTTTAAAAAAACCACAGGAACTTTAAAGAAGTACGTGGATTTAAAAAAAAGTACGTGAACTTGGAAAAAGTACGCAGATTTGGAAAAGTACACAAATTTTTAAAAAGTTCACGTATTTGAAAAAAATACCCGAATTTGAAAACATTAAACGGACTTGGAAAAGGTATGCGAATTTGAGTCGGCACGGTCAAAACCGGGTTGGGACAGCACCAAAACCGGTCAAAACCGTGACCAGGGATGAATCTTGGCCGGTTTCAGTAGTTAAGGGCGCAACTTGTCCGGTTTTAAAGTTGAGGGACCAAATCTAGACTTCGCCAAGAATTAAGGGATGAAAAGTATACTTTTCTCAAAAAAGAACAAACGTAAGGCCATGCACCATGGACCGTCACTTCTTTGTGTTTCTCGAGCGGGCGGCTCGTACGGCCGGCCTTGCTGCCCATGGCAAAATATTGTGATTGCTACACAAGCCTTTTTTAGGCCATGGAACTTTCCAACTATGTTGTGGAACAATGTTAAACTGAATTAATGTTGGCTGCGCCCAGATTACTTAGAAAACTAGTGTTAATTCAAGCACTTGATGCTAAACTGAATTACCAATCAGGCTCTTCTGTACGTGCTGGTTCTTGTTACATGTATGCCAGGCATAGAAAGGCTTCGATCTTGTTAAACTGAATTACTAAGCACCAACTAGACCTTGTTGTACATATGATGATCCATTGCCATGCATAGAAGGGCTTTGTTTTTCAATTTGTCAAGGTCAGTTCATCTAATTTTTTTGGACTTCGATCTTTTTGTAAAATTCATAGAACTTGTAGGCCACCTGGTACACCAATCCTCGTTGTACAACAACTACTGATAGATTCGGACTGTTCTATACATGCTGTTGTTCAGAGGCGGTTGGTTCTTATTCTACTATCAGATTTGCTTCTGTTGATCCCTATTGTATTTGTTGGTGTCTGATCTTACAGGAACTGCTAGGGCTGATGGGCGGAGCCTGTCATCAGCTGTTGTGCCCAGGTCTGTGGGTACAAACGGCGTCATGCCAACCACTTCTTCTTTAGCATCAGCGGTGATGATGGCCGCAATCCTTGGTACTAGGGGTGCTTCACAGAGAGCCCTGGCGCGGGAGATGCCACTGGTGTGGACGAGCGGGCTCCACAATGGCATGAGGACTGTAGGCTTTCTGTACCAGTACAGCAGAGTTGACGAGCTGAGGATCATGTGTGTGTGCCATGGTAGCTTCCTCACTCCAGCGGAGTTTGTGGAGCATGCTGGAGGCGCCCGAGTCGCCAACCCGCTGAGGAGCATCATTGTCAAGACCCCGTCTTGGCTTTAGACCGGCGCGGCGGCGCATGCATGCATGCAGATGAGATCGTCCAAGTGTTAAGCTTATTACCTTCGAACTAGAAATCTCATCGTGAGCTAGACTGCATCTATCTATGTTACAGACTTTACATTACAGTACTTATTACCTGAACTGAAGACATGGTGGGAGATTTGCTCCGGCAGACAACTTAATAGCAAACATAAAGACAGATTGAACATTACTCGTTGTTCTGGTCATCGCTTGTTTCCCGTATTGTTTTCCTGTACTGTTTCATCTTCCTGTCAGCAGCTTACCTTGTTAGAAGATGCACGGACACAAGTGGTGGAAGATCTTAGTTAGAAGACACAGGTTAGCCTCTTAATTAATGTTAAGCGCTTGTAGTTGGTAGCATCCATGTGGCGATATGCATATTTTGGCTCTTAATGTTCGCGTTTGCTAATTAGTGGCTGAAAAAGATTGCGGCGTCAGTCAATTCTCCGAGGCTGAAGGCGGGGGTGGGTTGAGGAGCGCCGATCCCGGCGAGACCATGCCATGGTCGAGAAGGAGCCGGCGCGTGAGCGAGTCCGAAACTTGACGGGTGCAGGTCAAGGAGTGTGGGGTCACTGGAAAATCTGTTTGGCGGTGAGGTTTAGAGGGATAGCCTGGGGCGGCGGCAGCACGGCGGTGGGGTGACGGGTGAGGCTAGGGGAGGGCGGTGCGGCGAGGTGGTCGGGGGAGCGCAAACGGCCGCGGGTGGTGGCGGCAGGTGGCCCGGCCGGCGGTACGTGGGGGAGGGAGAGGAATGTTGGCTGGAGGAGGAAGATGGATAGTAGGCCGTTGGGTTTTGATCGGACAGATGACATTTAGATCGGGAAATTGACTGATGGCAAAGAAAAATGCAGGTACCCGACAGATCGGCGCTCCCCTTAATGTTTCTTTGGTTTTGCTTTGAGGTTATTTGAAAGAGCTCGGGCTTTTGTGTGCAGGAGTTTTCAAAAGAAATCAGAAGCATCCTACATGTTGGAGGTATCACAGATTGCATTCCGATGTGGTTGATATTGCCGTTCCAGAGGAGCTCGAGCATCTAAATTGGCACCACCATGGGCGAAACATGGAAAAATAATGTTGCTTATATAATGTTGAACTTACAATCTGAATGTGGTACGTCTAAAAATATCCGCTTATATAATTATCACATGGAGTCTACTCCCTCCTTCCATCTATATAGGGCCTAATGCGTTTTTTAAGACCGTCTTTGACTATTGGCAAGGTTAATAGTACATGACATGCATAATGTGAAAATTATATCATTGAAATCTCCTTTCACATACGAATATGACGGTATGCTTTGTGTAAGTTGCATGTCATATATTATTGTTCAAATATTTGGTCAAAGTTAGCCTCGAAAAACGCATTAGGCCCTATATAGATGGAAGGAGGGAGTATGACAGAACGTGAACAAAAAGTGCCTTGGAAATTTGGCATAGCCTGCTATCGCACCTTTTCGTTTGGCATAGGAAAATGGAACTTTTGCACTACCGAGATAATCCAACTCTCTTTAACATAAGGTAAATGTTTGGGGCCGGAGCGCCGGCCGAAGTGTTCGTCCGGTCTCACGCGCGACGCCCGATTAAGTGGGATCGTACGGCTTCCCCACGCGTACGTGTTTTATTAGTGTGGACCCGCACACCGCCTTGACCTCTCAATCCTTATCCCCTCAAACTCGTCTCCTTCCCTCTGTCTCTCTCTCACACACATCAGCCATGCAATCCGCACAACGTTCTGTGAGCTTTTTCACTGCAGAACAACTCCAGGCCTCCCGTTGCTGCGAGCACCTCCACAGCCGCCCCAAAACAGAAGATCACCGCTGGGCGTGGTCCCCGTTTTGCAACTCCGGCGACCCTGGGTACACCATATCGCCGGTGTAGATCCACCCATTTTTTGATTGCCATCGGCTGTAGCTTTTTGGATCACCAGTTGTATCTTTTTCTGCCTATGGTTGCATCCTTTTACAAATTATTATGTTCCAACCCCTCCCAAATTGCTTGTTTTGATTGAATCACCATTGACGTTTTGCTACAACCAGCGAGGTGATGTGCTGGAAGCAGCACCAATCGGTGCTGGAACTGAAGCGCGCCTCACCAGCGACGTGATTTTTGCTGGAACCAGCCGTGCTGGAACCAGCGTAATTCTTTGCTGGAACAGGCTAGTTCCTTTGCTACAGTCAGACCTTTTGGATCTTTTGCACCCGGCGTCACGATTTGCTGGAATCGGCGTCACTTTTTTGGAAGTACCCATCGCAAGATCAATGAAATGCTGCAACCAGCGTGATATTTTGCTGGAACCGAAGACTCAAGGTGTTGCGACTGGGCGATCAGTGACGGGAGACGGTGGTATTTTTGCTGGAATCATGGAATTTTTTGCTGGAACCTTCCCCAATTTTTGCTACCACAGTCTATTTGGTTGGTTTGCTAGAACTAGCGCCCTTTTTTTGCTACCATTTGTTTTTTGTTTTGCTGGAACTAACATTCTTAATTGCTGTCATCGTGTTGATTTTTGCTGAAACCAGCATCAGTTTTTGCTATAAGTAGCCAGCCGAATGCTACAACCGGTAGCTATTTTTTGCTACCATCGTCTTGATTTTTGCTGGAACCAGCATCAGTTTTTGCTACAAGTAGTCAGCCGAATGCTACAACTGGTAGCTGTTTTTGCTACCATCGGCGACGGCCAAGGTGTGACGGCAGCGGCGGTGCCGTTTTTTAGCTGCAACCATCCAACCTAGTGTTTTTAGCTGCAACCATCCAGCCTGGTGCTGGAACCGGCAAAATCAGTGCTACAACCCTCGAAAGCGGTCGTTTTTGCTGCAACCGCGACAGCGGCAGCTACCACCGGCGACGGCAGTGGCCATTTTTTTGCTGCAACCGACGACTAGAGTAGCTATCTCCGGCGACGGCGGCGGGCGGCATTTTTTTGCTGGAACCGCCGACTGCAGCAGCTACCACCGCGACCGGCACGAGGCGAGCTGTGCGGATTTTTCTGAGTGCGGTGACGAGGGAAGACCAGCGGCGGCACGAGCTGTGGATCTAGACAGGTACTGGGGTCACGAGATTGACGAAGCGATCTGTGCGGGAGGATTTCCCCCTTTTTTCTGTGAGGGACCCGCGAGATCGTGCACGTACAATTGGCGTGATCGAACGATTGATAGCCGACCAGCCGAAAGTTTCGGCCGGCGGACCGGCGCCCATCACTGCCCTTAACATAACCTTTCTTATCCCGCAGCCCTGACCCAGTAGTTATTCTTGCTTTAGTCACATCAAACATCTTGTACTATTTTGTTCCTTTTTTTTTTGTAAAATCTGGTATGCCGTATAGTTACCATTTACACAGGACCTTTTGACCAAGCGAGCCTATGTGATTTTTGAATAATTTGAACATTAGTCTTGACTGGCAATGACTAGGTAAGAGAGTGTGGTGATACTCGTACTTTCAGTTATGAGCTAGGATGAGTAAGAAATTGGCATACTTTCACGGTGCATTTTGCTTGTTCAACTTTTTCAAACATTTATGTGACATGTCTCTGAACATCTTACTTGTTCAACTTCGTCCGGATTTTCTCGCTTCCACTGTATTCTGCTCCATTACAAATTGTTGAATTTGAGTACCCTGTAAGACCTAGAACTCAGAGACACACTAACCTGTTCGGCTGAATCATTCAATGCTAACTTTGGCTTACCTGAAAACAGATAATCAGAGTATCAGGTGCCACTCAAGATTTACTCAAATCTGTTGTATCAATGTCCATGATGTGAATACAAAAAAAATTAGGTAGGCAAGCTTTAGTTGAAGCAGCTCCAGAATGGAGAGTTAGCCTTCATAAAAGGGGCATACTACATTGGAAGATGGTGTGCAGTAGGGTTATAGGGAACTTCTTGACCTTCAGTACAAATATCATAGTAAGGATTATAGGAAGTAGTAGAGTAGATTCAGATGAAGTGTGAGAATCTGCAGAGCGCTTAAGTTTGTCTGTGAAGGTTCACCCTGGATGTGATCATGCAGATCCCTGTTCCATGAGTGAGTTCTCGTATTTACCAATACTTTCTAGAATCTTCTTATTTTCTATTTATTTTAATTTTTATTCAAAATATCAGTTTGAGATATATGTGTAATATGTCCTGGTGAAGATATATAGAAGGTTGATTCTGTTTAGCCCTTCTATTAAAAACTGAGCTTACTGATTTTATCACAACCTGAACACAAGTTACTTGATCAGGCATAGGAAGGATCTACAGTGCTAGATCATAGGAATCACATAATACATTCTGCTATATTCAATATACAGCTATCGCTTTTGTTATTAATACTTACTAGTGGAGCACTTTCTTTCCCAACAACTATAAAGTACTACCTCTGGTCACAAATATAATATGTCCTAACTTTTTTCTGAATGGATGTATATAGACACGTTTTACTGTGTTTGTTCACTCATTTCAATCCGTATGTAGTCCATATTGGAATATCCAAAACATCTTATAATTATGAACGGAGGGAGTATTCATCAACCCGAGCACAACAGATGTGGTTTGCACGACCTCTACTAAGGCCCTGCAAGTTTTTGCTATTAATACTTACCAGTGAAGCCGAGGATCTATATAAAAGTTACTATTCAAGATTTTTAAAGCTGCAGACTTTTTCGTCCAAAAGAACACTGAAGTCGTTTTTTGCAAAACTTCATACGCTTGCCATGTTTGCCACACACACAAAAAATCAGAATTGTTTGATTTTTTTTATATTTAAACTTGAAATGCTATATAGGGTGCACCTAGAAGTATGTTTCGAAATCCACGTGGTGTCCCTATCATTGACTGCAAAAGAATCCAATTCGGGGTGTTTCTGAGAGAGGGGTTGCTCCAACTAAGAGTCATGCCAAAACAGGACAGAGCTAGGATTGCCCACTTTGAAAGTTGCAGGATCTTTGAAAATGTGAATAAGTTCAAGCAAATTCTTTGAAATGCCCAGACAATTAAGCTACA